GTCCGGCGTGAAGGAAAGATGCTCCTTTTTCCTCCGGTTGTCTATTCAGTTGTTTCAAAACCCATTTCCTCAATACTTCATTTATCTGCCATCGATGGATTATAATGTGTTGTGTTCCAATATGTATTTGCGATTATTGCCATAATTTTTATTCTGTTTTACTGTGTTGGCTCTACTTATATGCTGATAATGAATAACTCACATGACAATACTACTCAGTTTTAATTAGTATAGCTTTAAAATATTTTAAAATATTGCGTGACTAGTTACCCCTTTATTTTTCTTATAAATTTCAAATATTTTTTGTCAATTTAAATTTAACTTTCTATATTAACTTTCGCATTAGTTTTTCTAATAAGAACGTTGGTGTTTTTATCGTGATCACATTTTTAGGTTAATTTAGGAATGATTGCATATTTATGCAAGCTTCAATGGTATCGAATTCTTTAAATTGAATTCTTTAAAATCTAAGAACATCGTATGCCTTTCTGTTTGTTTGAGTTTTCTTTCATGTCCCTAGAGAGATATTTCTTCACATGGATCTTGCCCATTTTTGTTAATTTTATTTCTAAGAATCTCATCTTCGTCTGCTTTTTTCTCCTGTTGTAACTGGGATCTTTATTCCTTCGCTATGTCTCTGAACTAGTTTTTTATATGTGTGTATAAGCTACTTATGTCTCTTTTATGGAAACATGCTACTTACAGACATTTAAAAGTATATGCCTATTATGACAGAGGGCAGTGCTACACAGTGGGGGTCCGAGGTCACCGAATGGGTTCCATCATTGATTAGCCCGGTGGCAACAGGTACGTTACTCCTTAAAAGCCAGTTTTTTTCCTGTGTCAAATGGATGATGTGAGCATCTACCTCATAAGGTAGTTTTGAGGAATAAAAAGATAAAATACAAAGGCGCTTGGCAGAGTTTCTGGAACACGTAAGCAGTGAGTAAACGCCAGCCATGGCAGTTCTGTGTTCTTACCATCCAGTGCCCGGGGGTCAGACCGGGAACAGATGTTCGCCTTCCCAACCCCTCCCCTGTACCCCACACCCTCACAGCTCCCAATCAAGGCCCCAGACTGGGGGCTGTAGAGTGTGTGTGTGTGTTGGCGGGGGGGGGGGAATGGGGAGATGGAGGTAGAGGACAGTGGCCCAGTTACACTTTGCCAGTTGTAGGAAGAAGTAAAAGGACTCAGTGACGATCTGCATTTGGGGGTGGCAGGAAATCAAGAGGCAGACACGTGTTAAGGAACAAAGCCATGGGGGTGAACAGAGCACTTTTTTCAAACGGTCCCCTTAGAGTCATAGGGACTTGAGAGCTTACAGGCCGTTTTTACATACGTGTATCATAAACCCATCTCGGCAGCAGCTCCCTGGGGTCCCCGAGTGGGCGGGGGTTGGGGAGCCAGGCCCGGAACCCTGACCCCTGCCCTCTGCTGGTGCCCAGTTCTTCTTTACGTCTCTCTTGACTTCCCTTGTCCTTTATTCCCATCTGGGCCTAAGTACTAAACTGTCAGCAGAAAAGACAGATGACAAACAGGAAGAAGAGGAAACAAGAAGGATTAAAATATTTCGAGAAGAAATAGCCCACGAGAGCTTTGGGCTTGAAATCAGGAATAGTATCTGCCCAATACCCCATGGGCATAAGTCCCTGGGGAGCTATATTCGGACCAGTACAATGATAGCTACCCTGCCTTAGGTGTCTGCTGTGTGCTGCCTGTTTTATGTGCATTTTTCCTTTTGTGCCTAACAACAATCTTCCAAGGCAGGCGTTATTATGCCAATGACACCGCCTGTCTCTAGAAAGCCAAGCCTCAGTCCTCCTGGAGCCTAACCTCTATAGCTAATTGAAGAACACTTGTAAAACACAGCCCAGGCCTGGACACAGGGACTCATCCTGGAGGAGCTGGGAGGGGACCTAGAAAGAGTCGCCACAGCCAGTGAGGCGAGTTCTGAAAAAAAAAACAAAAAAAAAAAACCGAGATGTGATAGCGAGAGGAAGACCTTGCTTCTGTGACTGTCAGAGGAAGCAGAGCAGACAGAAGCAGGGAGAGAAACCGGACCCGCAGGTTCCCGGGGCAAGGAAGCATCTCGACCTTCCCGCAGCCCGGGAGGCGGGTGAAACGGGGAGGAGGCAGACGGCAGTGGGGGAGAGGAGCCCAGAGGAGGCTGCTTCTGAGTGGGGGAATGCTCCACCAGCGACTTAGCCCTCTCTCCCATTGCTGAATTGCTTTTTAAAGTGACAGTCACGAGGCTTCAGGATTCGGAAGCGGAAATGGTCTTTGCTCATTGGCTGACAGTCTGAATCCAGCCGAAAGAATGTGGTGGGAGACAGCTGGTGGAAATCGGCCCAGTCTTGTCTACAGTGGGAACGTCCACGTGCTGCTGGTCTCCCCCTCCCCATCTCTCTTTCCGCCTGCCCGCCTCCCTTTCTTCAGCCGGTTTTATGCAAAAGTAACCAACCCGGCTTGCTGTACCCCAGCGGTCCAGAAACGCCCCTGTTTAACCCAGGGCTGCTGGCTGCCCCCCGAGGTGAACGCGAGCTGCTCGGGTGGTTCGCTGGGAAGTGACCCTTCCTCCCCAGCTTCTTGTGTCTGCCACGGAGCAGTTAACGTTGCATCCCACCGTGGATGTGTCTGTTGGAAATGCCGCGGGGCAGGGCGCTGGTGCTTCCTAAGCACGTGAGCGGGACGCAAGGAGCCAGCGCTGGACACCCAGTGACCCGGGACTGCGACAAATGGGTGTGGGATGGGAAGGAGGGAGGGTCACCTGGTCCTTGTCCTTCCTCCTCGCGCGGCTGGAGCACGCTGTCCACACGGGGGGAGAGTAAGGTCGCCCCAGGTCGCCTGAGCAATCTGCAAATTCATCATTGCCTTTCATCGTCTCCCCTTCCGTCCCAAGTGGGGGGCGGCCCTGCTTTGCCTCGCCGGCCCGGGGCTGCCTGCCTAGGCGGCTCCGACTCGTGCCCTAGGAAGGCTCCGATGCCCTTGCCGGCCGCAGGGGTCCAGTCTTGGCCCGGACATCGCTCCTCACCGCGCGCCCCGCAGTCGCCGGCTGTGCGCAAGTCTGGCCAACTTTCGCCATCCTGACCCGAGACTCGGGCCATGTCTATGACAATGTGAACAAAGAGGAGCAGGGAGAGGGGCCCGCGGGCGGCTGCGGGGCGAGTGTGAGTGTGAGTGTGTGCGCGCGCACGCGCGTGGCGGGGGACCACCGC